TCTCATTCCAGCAAAGGAACTTCCTTGGGTCTTCCCTTTTCTGCTTTTCTCTACATTTTACCCTGACTATGATCTGTAGTCAAATGAGTTCCTAACTCAGCCCAATTCCTGCCTTTCCCATCAGGTCCCTCTGAGATTCCTACAGCTATTCCAGATCATTGATTACAAAAGTGATTGGTCCTTGGCTGTTGACTTCCATCCAAGCACAGTGTATAAGTCATTGGAGGAACAGTGGCATCAGTACAATCAAAAAGTGAGGAGAAAGAGATGGTTTTGACAGAAGTGTGGGCTTGGGGTGGGTGTACTGACTCTCTGATTCTCATTTCAGCCTCAGGAATATGGCCAAGCTTCATGGGGAGGCTATCAAGGAAGTATAATTTGTGAGCAGAAATGTGGTTTGAGTGACCAAAAGTGGAATGAAGCTTTAATGGTCCACTTGACTGTAAGGGATTATTTGTTTTAAGATTGCTGAGAAAGACTCAGACAGTCCCTAATTGCAGCCTCAAGTTTTGGGTTTTCAAAGTTTATGGGGCTCTGAATTCTTGGGGGCAGTAATGCATAGGTGGGAGTAATGTCCTGTCCTTGGGGAACATTGTTACTCAGAAAAAGAAGTTGTTTTGTTTTTGTTTTCTCGCGCTGTGTTTCAGTACAGGGTTTAGCTGTTACAGGTAGCTGAGATATTGTTTAGATTTAGTGTTCTCTGTCAGGATGAAGAACTGCCCAGGGTAGAGAACCTGGCTGGAGACGACTGATCTGGGTTCCCAGTATTGCCCAGCATGGGCCCTCTGAATGGTAAGTCTGCCAGGCTGGCAGCCAGACCGTGCTTTATCCTTTACCGATGGAAAACCTGGACTGTGAGGTCATACAGCATCCAGGACCCATCTTCTTCTCTTTGAGTTCTACCACCATTGTGTTGTGCACCTGGCCATGGATGAGATCCCTGGGGTTTAGAAACATTAGCATGGGGGTAGATGGGGAGTCCTTGGCTGTCCCTGGGCCAGTAGCCCCCAGATGGCATGGGGTGGCTACACACCCATCCACAAGGCAGGGGGAAATCAACCTTGGACAGGTAATTGCTTATCTAAACATTGTTGGTAATCGGCATCCCTAAAATTAACCTTGAAAGATGGAAAGATGTTAGCAATTTCTGGCCATATGTACCTTCTTCCCTACTCTCCCATCTCAAAAAAGAAAGTAAGCCAAATGGCAGAAGTAGAGTCTAATGCATAACACATTTCCATCAGTTTTTCCCCTCTCCCCTCACCTCCCCCCATGTAAACTAAATTCCTTTACATGGTCATGGCAAAGGAACACTAATTCTTGATTTGAATTGTGATTAAGAGCAACACAATCAAAAGAGTAAAATAGTTTCCACTGAAGCAGTATCATTTTACACTGAGTGATGGTATGGGAGAGGCTATGGGTTTAGGTGTGGCTTCTAATCTTGACTGTGTCTCTTACAAATTATTGCCTTGTGGTGTCATTACTTAGTTTGGGTACTTCTCCTTGATTCTTATAAAATAACAATGATGTCTACTTAACATAGTTGTGGTAGCAAAGAGGGAACAGTATGTAGCACCTATCATCTGTAGATAGTAGCTGTGGTGGGCACTCTGTAAATGGTGACCCACTTCTCTGCAGAAAAGAAGGTCCCCACATTGTCAGCTGGTGCATGCTGATGTGTTTGATAGCTCCTGTGGCAAAATGCTGTGTTCCAAGCCTCAGGCTTTGGGAATTAGCTTTGGACTTATCTAATAACTCGAGGTCACTTTTTGGAGGGTCTTAGAGGATGAGAGAAGTTGTTCTCATTCTCTTGTTCCCATGCTTTGATTATGCAGAGTGTTAAGTCAGATTTTTGTGGCTATCACAAATACCCAAGTTAATAAATATAAAGAGAAAAAGTTTAGTTTGGTTCGCAGTTTTGCAAACTAGTGCCTGATCACTTGGCCCATAGCTTTGGGCAAATTAGCACATTGTGGTGGGAAAATGAGGTAGAGCAAAACTGTTCATGGCCAGAGAGCTCAAAAGAGGAAAGGGCCAGAGTCCCATAATCTCCTTCTAGAGTACACTCAGTGCCTGAAAGATCTCCTACTGGGCCCCACCTCTTGAGGTCCATCACCTCCCAGTAGTGTCACTTAGGGATAAAGCCTTTAAAGCATAGGTCTTAGGGAACATTTAGGATTCAAACTATAGCACATGATTTTCTCCATTCCCATTTGGTGTGTGTTGCAGAAAGGAGGCACAGGGGAGACTTGATCTTGCCTTGGCCTGGCAGTGAGTCTCTTTGTGAGTCTCTCACTGAACTCAATGAGAACTTATGTTGTTCATCAAGAACCTCTGGGTTCAAGGTTTGTCAGGCAGCAGTGGAAGCTGAACTGGATGTGGGCTGGTTCAGACACGTCTGGGATGAGTCCTGCACAGGGTAGTCTCTGCAGCTTTCTCCTCCCTGTAATTCAGGCTACTGGTTCCCACTGCTTGGCCATCAAACGTAATCAAAGCATGGGCAGGGGCCACCTCAGGGTGGGGAGAGAGCTTGAGAAATGGAAAATTCACTGAGGAGCTGTGCTCATTCACTCCCACACATGTTGGGACAGCCTGCAGGTCAGTGCTGATCCTCCACCGGAGCAATTGGTGTTCATTTCTGACCTTCATGCTACCCTTGGAGTGAGGCACTTCTCAGGCCTGGGGTAGTATATGGAGCTTGAGTTAAGTAAGCTTCAGGATAATTTTGTGACTTTGACACATTTGTTAAAGGTTTGGTTGTAGGATTTTGCCTTCCTCTTTACTTGTGGGTTAGCCAAAAGTGCGGTTTTCTAAACAACTAAATATTGAATGGCAAAGGCTTTGCATTGCAGTTCTGCCTTTGCTAGAGTAGTTCTTTTGGCCCTGGGAACCATTTACCACTTCATGAAAAAAGTAATTTTTAAATGTGGGTGAATCTGGGAAAAGGGTCTGAGTTTTTCCTCCTTATTTCCTTGGTCCATTCAATGACTACTTCAAGTTTGGGGCTCATTATAAAGTATTCTGGAACCAGAGTCAGTGAGGACCACATGGTTAAAAGTGCACAGTCAGACATGGTGCTAGGGTTGAGAGACATGTCCCTTCAAGGGCCCATGGGTTAAGCATGATTTCCAGTGTGTGGCAATGCTGAGAGGTGATAGAGCCTTTCGGAGGTGGGGCCTAATAAGAGCAACTTAGGTCACTGGGGATGTGACCTTAGGTCAAAGGAGATAATGGTTCCCTGGACCTTCTCTCTCTCTGCTTCCCAGCTGCTGTTAGCTGAGCATTGTTCTGTCATGTGCTCCAACTATACCATGATGTCTTACTTCTCCACAGGCCCAGAGTGACAGGGCAGTCAATCATGGACTGAAACTATAAGCCAAAACAAACCTTTCTTCCTTATAAGTTGATTTATCTTGGGTATTTGTTACAGTAATGGAAAGCTGGCCCAACATGTGGTTTTAGGATTAATGACCTGGGGCAAGTCAGCCTAAATGGATAAGCCTCAGTTTTCTCATGTTAGATGGGGAAAATAATTATACCTTTCTCATGGAGTTATTAGAATTAATTGAGAAGATACCTCCAAAAATACTTAGTAGACTTACTGGCATGCAAGAGGTTTTTATAATTGTTAGCTATTATTATGTGGTTCAAATTCAAGAGTTTCCTCACATAGTGTGGGTGGAAGCCCTGAGTTATTAAAAAGAGGGGTTGGTAATTTTTAATTCAGAAGGATTCAGAGGTAGTGTACAAATTATTTGATGATGGGCATCTGAAAATGATTTCCAGTTCCTAAATGTCTGGTATCAACCCATCCTAAGTGGATCAGTGGTAGCAGCAACATTACCTGTTTGCCTGTGCTCCTCGACATTAATTTGTCTTTATCAGCAGAACTTGTGTGGCCATTACCAAAGGATCTGGTCCACAACTTAAAAATAATGTTGAGGCGGGCCAGGGATTTAGCTCAGTGGCACTGAGCCTGTCTTGCAAGTGCAAGGTCCTGAGTTCAAACCCCGGTACTGCAAAAAAAAAAAAAATAATAATAATGTTGAGGGCTGAGGTGTGACTCAGTGGTAGGGCATTTGCCTAGCATGTGTAGGGCCTGGGTTTGCTCTCTAGCACTGAGAGGAAAGGTTAATGCAAAGTGTGTAGAGAAAAGAGGAAGCAGAGATGGTGAATGCTTTGGTTTTCTCTTTTCAAGGGAGCTGTGCTAACAGAAGCAGCCCTTGTATCACATTAGACCTAAAGAGTGGTCATTGCCTGACGTGGCCACTAGGACTTGCTCTGAGCAGTCAGGAAGCAGGATTCCGTATGGGTCTCCTCAGCTGATAGCACACGAGTGGCTCCTGCTGGGGGCTGGTTGAGTGGTGACAAGAAGCCTCAGTACCTGCTGTGCAGTGTCCTGAAGACCCAGAGCTGACTCTCCAGGTTGAGGCTGCACATGGCTGGCTGTTGGGTGAACTTGGTGTGGCAACTGCAAGTGCTCATGACTTTCCCTTGCTGATTGTGCGCAGATTCAGTCTGCCTTGTCTACAGGGCCCAACTCTCAAGGAATTTCAAATGTTTAAAAGCTAAACCACTAACTTTCTCTTTAAAAAAATGTCAGGGCTGTTTTTTTTTTCTTTGAATTCAAGGATCTGCAGCATTAGGTTATGTGGATTAAGTTGTGGCACTCCCTTCTCTGAAGGCATTGTATGATATTCTGCATCACTGAATTTTATAAAGAAGTATGATTTGGTTTTGAAAACTGATTTGAGAATCTATGGCAATTCCTGAGGTACCATTAGACACGGTAGAACTATGGCATAGTCAGCAGCATGGTGCATTAGCAAGACCTCAGTGTTTTGTTTGGGAGGGCTCTCCCTCCTCCGCTGTCTGCCTCCTCCCCTGTGGACTGTCCACTTCAGCCAGAGGTTCACTCATGTTTCAGATGAAGAGCTGTGTTCTAAACTGCTGTCTTTCCCCCACCCTTCTCTCCTTCTCTGTCCCCACCTCTCTAGCACTGAGGATGAAAATAAAAGAGGTGAAAAAAGAAAATGGTGACAAGAAGATTGTCCCCAAGAAGAAGAAGCCCCTGAAGTTGGGACCCATCAAAAAGAAGGAACTGAAGAGGCTGGTGCTGTTCCTGAAGAATGGGGCCGACTGCCCGTGCCACCAGCTGGATAACCTGAGCCCTCACTTCCTCATCATGGGCCGGAAGGTGAAGGGCCAGTACCTGCTCACGGCTATTCACAAGTGGGACAAGAAGAACAAGGAATTCAAAAACTTCATGAAGAAGATGAAAAACCATGAGTGCCCCACTTTTCAGTCAGTCTTTAAGTGATTCCAACTGGTGGGGGGTAGGGAGCGGTGTGGGTGGGGGAGAGGTTGGACAGTGGATGCTCCTGGGGGCTGTGATCGCACACACACTGCTCCTGTTGGTGCAGTGGGTGTGGACGCTGCAATCAGCTGGCTTTGTTCTCACAGCTTCCCCACCCTTCCCTTCCTAGCACCTCACACCCCAGGATAGCCAGGTCAGGTAAGGAGGGCCACTCAGCTTAGGAAGGCTTTGGACAGCTGCAGCGGGAAATGGCAAGCATAGCACAAAGGGGCAGACCCGTTGCACCCAGAGACACAGACACTAAAAGAGAAAGTTTCTGGATAAGTCCCAGTTTCAAAAAAAGAGGGATCAGGCAAAAAGTGAGAGGGTATCAAACTGTCATGGAGGTTGTGAATTGCTTATGGATTTATTGGCTAACCTGGGCCTTGGAACTAGTGCCTTTTAGCTATTGGTGAGTCCCGTCGCTTTCAGTTTCAGGGTAAGTTCTCTTTCTGTCTGCATTAGATAGGAACAAATGCATCCAGGCTTATCATATAAGATCTGTTCAGAAAGTAACAGGTGCAGGGATGCAAAGCACTCATGAAGTATATAATTGTGGGAATGAAGGGACCAGGAGGAAGGTGACTGCCTGCTGAGCCCTCGGGCCTTGTGAGTGTCTCATGGTGAGTCAGCCATGGTCAGATGCCCTGGCCATGGAGGCTCCCATCAGCCCTCTACATAACCTGCTCTCCAGATACTTAGAGGGCTGGAAAGAAAGAAGAACACAGAGGGCAGGAGGAAGAGGAGCATTTTCAGGGTGAGGAGGGAGTGGTTAATAGTTTTCCAAAGACAGTTAAAGAAGAAAAAAAGATTCAAAATTAAAACAGTTGAGCAAATAACTAGCTGGGTGAATTGTGAAGTTGGATGAAGAGCTTTGTATGCTAATTGGATTTGTTTATTCATTTCACATTTTTTAAAAAAAACAATGGTAAGACAAAAACCCACTTACTTTTCAAGGTTTAAAAAGCATTGAGCATTTGAAGAGTGAACAAAGTCCAAGTTCTCCTGATCAACTTGTGGCTGCTCTTGAGAGTGGTGGCTCTCCAATCTCCCCGGGCATTTTTAGTAGGAGGAGGATTCACCCAGCAGCGAAAGGCCAGCTTTGGACCCTCCTTCCTGGGCAGCCTCAGTCACCCTGGAGCCAGTACTACCAGGACAGTTTCACGGTGCTTCCCATCTCTGCTTTCCTATGAAGAAGCCAGTTCATTTTAGCTTGGTTGCCCATAGATCAAAGAGATTCAGAGCATCCTGCCTGCCTGACCCCTCCATGTTTCAGTTTTCCATGTCTCAGCAGGAAAATTGACACAGGGTCCCTATCCAAGAAGAGAGTTTTGAAGACAAACCATCTCTGGTTTTCCCAAATGCCTGCAGATGTCCCCCAAAGCCATTATGCTTTAGCAATAATGTAAATAAAGTAGTTCTCTAGAAAACTTTGGTCCTGTTGTCCAATATAGAGGAAGTGTTCGAAAGGATTAATGTTAATGTCTTCCGCCAAAGCCTGAGTTTTGATTTTCTATTGCATCTCAAGGACCTTAGCAGTTGTTCCTCTGGGTGAGTGTTGAGACCTGATCTGGGTGAGGCAGTGAAGTTGTTCGCTGTCCCCCTGTGGCCCTGGACCAACACAGAAATGGGAAGATGCTGTTAACTTGAGAGACTCGAGTCTGGAAGTCATCATGCCAATTAGTTACCTATCTGACTGCTATCCTGAAGTAGTTAACTGCTCACAGTTAGCAATCCCGTCATTTTAGTACCTATTTGTCCTTTTGGACATTTAATTATAAAGTATTGGGGGGTCTTCTATGATTTGCTTGTAATTTTGGATGATTTTAAAATGTGTATATATATTTAGTAATTAGATATATTCTACTTCCGTGTTGTCCAACTGAGATGCAATTTCATGACTACATGGGGGCTAGGCTTTAGTTTTGGTCAGTTAAATCAGGAGTTCAGTGCTCATGCACATCTGCTTATTTTGACAAAATGCATTCCGCAGCAGGCGCTGTCTATATGGCAGTAGCCATAAGAGAGGGCTTCAGCTGGCGTACAGTAGCAGCTGTCACGGAAGCAGCTTGGGAATGTGTTTCCATGGTGTGAAACTCTCTGAGTGGGAATCTTCAGTAGGAAGCAGCAGTTTAGGCAAGGGCCCCGCGACATTGGACATGTGAGTTACAGCTGCAGGTTTTACCCCAGCCCAGAGTTGCTGGCCATTGAGTTTCAGTGTGTACTTCAGTCATGACTTTAGATACCAGTGCTGTCCCTACATCAGCAATTTCAGGATGAAAAGAGCCCAAAGTTGCATTATCACTAACCTTTGTTGTTCTCAACAAGGGGTATAACAAAATCAATATGCAGACTCATTGGCTTGGTCATTGGTTTCCAAAAGAGGCCATCCGTACATGATTTGATAATTTTTGTTAGTGCAAATGTCAAATTTGTAAAGCTTTAAAATAATCATTCTGGAGAGTTCTATATGAAGCTATTCGCAGAACTTCACTAAATCTTTCAAGAATATTAGTAGCTATCTTAGAGGATAGAGTAGGAGGTGAAAATTCCAAGAACACTTTATTTTTAAGTATCCTGTGTGACACTTGGCTCTTGATATTGGTGGATTAGCACCAAGTTCTCCCCAAGGCAGAAGCCAGTCAGAGCCCCACTTTCCATTTGGATGTGTAAATTACCTAAATTCCATTTCCCAAGCCTAGGATCTGTTTTTCTCATCAAACTCCAAGTTACTGGCCACTGTGCTGTAGTTCCATAGATGTGGGGTGCGCAGATGGTCTGTTCTGGAAGCGTACATGGGGAACTTCCCTGGAATGACAGGCCGGGTGCTCTGACCTGTCACCAGCAGATACACAGGACATGGATGACATTCCCGTTTCCTCCTGTTCTTCGTGTAGTAACTCCTCTTTTAGAGTCTCAATCTTTCACAAAAGCTTCGAATACTGTGAAAATGTTTTACATTCCATTTCATTTGAGTTGTTTTTTTAACTGCATTTTACCAGATGTTTTGATGTTATCACTTATGTTAATAGTAATTCCCACATGTGTTCATTTTATTTTCGTGCTTTTCCTCCCATGTATTCACTTGACTAAAATCACTCAATCAATGAAGAGTGTGCGTTGTGACTTGCTGCCCCACCAGTCATATCCCACTCACCCTCTTCCACCAGACACCCCCCACACACCCCAAGTTGTTTCAGTGGTGTCTTCTAGCTCCTGCTAAACAGTTTTCAAATGGTGACTGGGTGTGGGTGGGCTGGACCCACAGGCTACCCGACCTCTCTCTCTGTTTACCATCTGCTCTGTGAAGAGCTGCCTGAAGTGTTTCTCTTGGTGTGTGTGTTTCAGATCAGAGAGAAGGTTAAATACTTGCTCTACAAGAATGTAGTTTTCAGCCCTGCCCAAGTTTCTTTTCCACGTTTCTGGTTTCAGATACTCTTTCCCCTCTGGTCCAACTCAAGGTTCAAATTAGCAGCTAGAACCTGACAACTCATTAGTGTCTGGAGCTTGGAGCTGTGTGAGACTTTGAAAAACACCATGTCTTCATGCTTTATAGGTGAGAAATCTAAGATGTGATACAGCAGGGACTTTCCAGGGGATTGCATGGCTCCAGCCATGGAGGCACAAGTCACCTGCAGAGCGGTTTCCTTTTGGACTCAGAGTGGCACATTCTGCAGTGCCCAGGCTGCTTCCTGTTAGGTCACTGGCATCTTGCCTGAGGAATTCTTCCATCAATATTTAGTTGTGATAACTTCATCAGTGTGGTTCCCTGATTAATAAACCACCCCCAAACCCGAGAAACTGGCAGTTCTCCCCCAATGTGAGTAAATATCCCCAAAGCACCCAAAACTGTGCCCAAGCAAACACCATCTTTAAAGGCCTGATGTGATAACCTGCAAGGGTCTTTCAAAGTCATGCTCTGGTACAGGCTTCCCCACACTGCTCACCTGCCTGGTGCAATCCTGAGAAGCTAAGCCAGCCATCTGAGATATTGGCATTTCCTTTTGGCTCCCTTGTGTAGTAAAAAGGAAATTTTTTTTAGGCTGGATATAGATGTGATTGTCACCCCCATGAAACCCCATCACCATGCTCCATCATTTCTCATTGCTTTTTTGAATTTTATTCTTTTTGAAAATCTGCATAAGGATGATGAAGTATGTGCAAAGGCACCTCAGCTCCACCCCACATGGATTTGTACTGGAGTTTGGGGTGCCCAAGGGCCAGGGCTGCTTGGCCTTGTAGGGATGCTGGCAGCACCATGAACAGTAGGCTTGGCCTCACAGGCACTGCCCTACCAAGGGGCAATAAGAGACGTGATCCACAGTATCCTCCAAGTTAGGTTGGTTTTACTTCTAAGGCTGGCTCCCCACAGTGGGCCCAGAGGAAGTGAGAGCTGTGCAATCACAGGAAAAGCAGATGTGTATACCTGTATACACATGCGCATGGGTCACTGAGGTGACTTGCACACATTGTTCCCAGCTTCCACCCCCAGGATCCTGATCAGGAGAGTTTGCCAAGGGCCCTGGACCTTGAATTTGTAATGACTACACTTAAGTTTTTCAGGTGCCCCTCTTCACACTTTACTTTGCAAAACATTCTAACAGGACAGATGAGGCTTGAGGATGAGATGCAGGAGATTATTTTGGTATCTTCCTTCACTCCCTATCCACCACCATACTGCTTCAGCCTTGTATAAAATTTGTTGAGCTTTTCTTACTAGATATTTGTCAATAGAAGTAAATTATGAAGGGGAGAGAATAATGCTTTACTCCTGTGTAACTGGGTACAACTGACTCTCCAAAGAATGCTCCTCAGACATCAATACACACCCAAGTCACTGAGGGACTAGTGTTAAAATGCAGATTCTAACTCAGATGTCTAAGGTGAGGGATTTTTGCATTTCTAATGAGCTCCAGAGAGGCTCCAGTGAGGCTGAGAGCTGCTGATCTGCACAGCACACATGGATGGGAACACTCCAACAGTCTCTGTAGAGTCCTTGCCCTGTTATAATAATGCCGGCTCTGGGATCTGGATACAGAGCCCATCTACTAGAGATTCAAAACATGAAACATGCTTTGATTTGAAAAGAAAATCAAGCCAAAAAATTGGAGCCAGTATAAACCCAAAGTTGGGGGCTTGCTTATCTTTGAAGCCAGGTCCTTGAGGATCCTGGGTGGGTACCTCTGATATATACCTCCAGCCTTGGATTTCATTTTGTGCTGGACAATCTACACCCTCAGTCCTAGATTCCAACCCCTTCAGGCTTGCTTCTTTTCCTTTAGACTCATTTTGGAAACTGACAGATCCCATCTTTTTTTTTTTTTTTTTTTTTGCCTCCTTCCATAATCTATTAACATCCAAACTCTGTCCTTTACAGGATTTCCCCATCCCCAGCTCCCATCCCCAGCCTCTGACAGAGCTGGTTGGAATAAACCAACTGGTGACATTTACCTGCAAAGGTAAAGTAATTTGACAACAGGAATTTGACAAAAGAATTAGGACTTCTCGTGTTCCATTTGTTCACATTTTGGCAGTTTCAAATTTAGGTTATATGAGGAGCCAAGAAAAAAGGGGTGGCTAAAATCTTTGGAGGGGAAATCCCATCTCTTTGATAAACTGAGCATGTCTGCCAAGCAGGGCTGATTTACTAGTGGGAGCAAGCATTAGGAATTTCTGTTAGCAAAGGCCAAGCAAAGGTGCTTTTTGTAGGTTTGGAGAAGATGGGTACCAGAACAAGTTCCAAATGGGGCAGAAAGCTCCTGCATCTTTGTACATCTGTGGACTATTTAGATAAGAAGGGGCTGCACTTAATCACAAGAGAGCTGCTTGCTTACATAAAGGGAGGGAAAGTTGCACGTGTGTGTTTAAGGAGAGAAAGGATGTGAGAAGGAGAGAGGATCCAGCAGTTTTTCACAGCTGAAACCCTACCACCTGGTTTTAATTAGGATGACCTTCCTATCTACCTAAGCACCAGGATTGGTGGATGGGGGCTGGCAGTGAGGAATTTAGAATTCTCACAGACCTGGCCTGGGGATTTCAGCTGTGTTCTGCTGTGGGCAGCTGTAAGTTCTGGGAAAGTTCTTACTGCCCCTTCCCACGTCCAGGGCCTAGTGCCCTGTTCCTTTAGGAAGCCTGTCCACCATGGGGCCGGGTAGAGTCCAGGGCCAGGGTTTCTCTGAAACCCTAGGTGTAGGACTTCAAGGTTAAGAAACAATCATTACCCAGAAGCACCATTAGATTTCCTTCTAAGAGAGAAAATTGGAAAACAGAAGATCCTTCTGAAATGCTTTATCCATTATTTCATCCCTGTCAAATTCTTTAATGACTTACATAAGCATCCACGGTCACTATTTCTCCCAGTGAATGGTTGGGGAGCAGAAGGGGATGATTTAAGAGCCTCACTTTCCATTTTGTTGCCTAGTTCTCTGGA